ACAACACAACAGTGATGATAACCTCAAAAAGCAATTCTATTTCTGTCTCCTGATAGGTACAGTGATATTTTCTTTGTGGAGATAAATCTTAAAGAAAATTTCCAGTTGTATTCATTCCTTACTAATACAAAGACAAAATCCAACTCATATTTCACTAAGGAAAATGCTGCTAGCTTTATGATTCTTGACAAATTAATAACCTCAATGCCCTCCTGTCATCCAGCCTCAGAATCTTGCATGGGGAAGATACTGGTATGACTTTGTTACCTTTGTTGCTTAATGCAGCTCTCTCTGAGTTTAATTTCAAATGGAAAGCAACTGACTTCGAGTTTCAGTAAAATATTTTAAAATGGAGAAAAAAAGGGAAATCTTGCACCTTTGTAGAGCAGTTATTTCAATACCAGGCCTGAAAGCATCGAGGTTGGGATGTGCAGGACTCAGCTACTGCCATCTCTCAGTGGGGTTAGAAATACGTGATGAAATCCCATTCCTGAACAAACTGGCCAGGACAAGGACTCAGAAGTGGCGATAGAATGTGTGTGTGACAGCGAGAAAGGGACCTTTTTAATCCTTGCCCATTCTCGGAGCACCTACACCACTTCCAAACACCTGGAAGCGAAGCACCTGCGACGAAGGAGAGCCTCCTACCACTGTCACTCCCTCTCAAGTCACTCGGCGCGGATTTCCCAGGGGGTGACTCCTCTCGGGCACCTCCTGACACAAGACACCGTTAGCAGGATAAAGCCGCCGGGACAGGGATGGATTGTAGGCTGCGGCCCTGCCAACACAAGGGGCCGCAGGGGGTACAGCGGGAGATATGGAGGGACACGGCGAGGGGAATGGGGGGCACCTCCTCGGCCCCTCAGGGCGAAGGGGATGAGCGGCGCCCATCGCCTCACCCTCAGCAGGGCGTCCCCAGCCCCTCGGGGCAGTGATGCTGCGGTGCCTCCCCCCCGCCCTCTCCTCACGCCGGCGGGCCCACAGGCTCCCCTGACCCATCGCTGCCGTGGCCGGGACTCACCTGAGGCGGCGGGGGCGGAGCGGGACTCGCGGACTCTGGGCAGTCAACGCGACTCCGCTCCGGCGGCGGGAGAGGCCGAGCGGGCCCGGCTCTGACACGGGCGGCAGGAAACGCGCTCCGCGCCTGCGCCGCCAGCCCTCCCCACACAAAGGCGGAGCCGCGCCTGCGCGGCCCCTCAGGGCGGGGCGGCCCTGCCTGGGAATTAAGGAATTAATAATCTCCCTGCCTGGGAATTAAGGAATTAATAATCTTTCAGGTCATAGAATCCCACTGTCAATTTATCCCTGCTGCTGTGAACTCTCAGCCGTATCACCCAAGCGCCTCTTAAACGCCTCCAGGGGTGGTGAGTCCCCCTTACCTGGGTAAATTGTTCCAATGTCTGACCATACAAATAGTGAAAAAAAAGAAATACATCTAACCTGACTCTCCAGTGCCTCAATTTAAGGCTATTTGCTTCAGTCCACGCACTGCAGATGCGGTAGAAGAGGCTGGATCCCACCTCAATACACCCTCCTTGAACTACTACTGTAGTCAGCCTAGAGGACAAGGAAAGAAAATGGGGGAAAAGGAAGATATTTCCTCCCACACGATTGTTTCTCTGAGGAGAAAAAAAACAAAGGTGTGATTATTAATTGTTCCTTGTAGATGATTCACAAAATACAGCAGTGCCACAATGATGAACATATTCATGAGCTTGGGGTCCCAAACAGCAGCAGTCATAACCCATTCTACAGAATACATCACAGAGAATCTATACTGCAAGTGAGGCATCCACGGTGTAATGGGAGACAAAATGACACAAATATGATGGCAAATAAATCCACATTGTGTGTCTTTGAGACTAACCAAACCCAGTTCCCTCAGCCATGGCTCATAAGGTTTTCTAGATTTTTCATGAGTCTTCTGCCTTCCTCCGGACACACTCCAGCACTTCAATGTCCTTTTGAAATGAGGGACCCAAAACTGAACACAACACTCAAGGTGTGGTGTCACCAATGCCAAGAACAGGAGGACAATCACTGCTCTGGTCCTGCTGGCCTGATAGAGGGAAAGATGCTATTGGAGGGGACAGGGCATGTTCAGCCTGGAGAAGATTCAGGGAGACCCTAAAGCCCCTTCCAAGACCTAAAAGTTCCCCAAGAGAACTGGAGAGGGACTTGGGACAAGGGCCTGGAGGGACAGGGAAAGGGGGAATGGCTTCAAGCTGGAGGAGGGCAAGGTTAGATGGGATACTGGGGAGAAATTCTTCTCTGTAAGAGTGGGGAAACCCTGGCACAGATTTCCAGAGAAGCTGTGAATGCCGCATCCCTGGAAGTGTCCAAGACCAGGTTGGATGGGGCTTGGAGCAGCCTGGGATAGTGGAAGGTGCCCCTGCCATGGAAGAGAGGTGAAACTGCATGATCTTTAAGGTCTCTTCCAACCAAAACCATTCTATGATTGAGAACTGGAATATCAAAAAAGTTAATGAGCAATAATTTCCCCTACTCTCAAACCCCTCAAGGAATTGCCTTCTCTTTGGGGTCTCATGGTTTGTCTCCTTCAAGCTTGTGAGATTTTGTGAGCTTAAGTACAACAACAATGAACAAAATTGTCTGGGAGAATGGGAAGAGATAAGTGACTCCCAGATATACTGAGGAGCAATAGAGTAGTGGGTTTAATTTCGAGTCTGAGAGAAAATAAACAATTTATAAGCATCTCAAAGGAAAAAAAGAAGGTGAATGCTGGCCAGTATGGCTTTGTCAGGAATGAATTGAGCCAATCTAATTTCCTCTTCTGGCAGCATAACAAGGATTGCAGATAAGGGCGAAGCAATGTATATCATATATCTTGATTTTTAGTAGAGTTTGTGACACTGGCTTGCAGGATATTCTAATAATAAACTGGGAAACCAGTCTAGATGATACTGCTCTAAAGGAGTTGCAAAACTGGTTGAGGAAATAAATACTTAATATCAGTGCTTGCATGGGGAATTACCTGTCCATTACTCATCTGTGATGCAATAATGCAATTACTGCATCTGAAGCTGAGATCAAGTTCAGAATAAACACAGTGGCAGAACCAGGATTCAAAATGGGAGCTCTGTGGCAGAAATGGGATGTGGTTGAGCAGCAGGTGCACTGCTGTTCACTTCAACACCATCAGCTTCAAATTTACACCAATGGGAATAGGGCAGCTGGCTGTGCTGCAGAGAAGGGTGGAGGGGCTGCTGAGGGTTAAAAGCTGAACAGGAACAAAAAATCTATTTTTGTAGATGAGGTAAACACCACACAGACACGTGTGGGTAAGAAAATTCAAGTAACACATGCAGAGGAATCCATAAGAAGAACATTAGAGTCCTGTGCACCAGAGAAACGTGGATGATTTGGAGAAAAAAGTGGCAATAATGATCAGGGTCTTTGAACACATGACTTCAGCTGAGCCTGTTGAGAGGACAGAAAACTGAGGGAAGATGTGCGTAGTCTTTGAATAGATGAAAGGTTGCTGCTCTGAGGAAAGGAAGAATTTGTTCTCTTATGTCCACAGGGTAGGGTGAGAAGTCATAAGCTAAGATAACAACAAGGCAGATCTGGATAAAAAATTGCTAGCGACTACTTTGAAGAAGTGAAGCCTTGTGTTAGGAACTGATTTGACAGGATGAAGGGCTGCTCTTAGAAGTTTTTGGGAATGGATTAAATGGACAAATGAAATATTTGTCAGGATGGCAAAAGTGTAATACAAGGTCTTGTGTTCAGGAAGGATGTGAGAGTCTATGGCCTCTGTCAGTCCTGTGGCCCTGTGGCTGTGAGATGTGTAATCAGTGCAGCCCTTATTGGTTTAACAATAAAACTGCCTCAACTGCAGGGATTAGAGACACACAACTAGGCTGAGTAGAGTTACGTAACAGCAACAAAATTACATTTTAAGTATGGTTTTATGTTTACAAAATGACTTTCACCAGATGGAGGGAGCGCATCTAAATGAGTAGCTCTGCAGAGGTTTTAAGCATTAAAAGCTAAGACCCTGTCTCCGATGAAGCTTCCCAAAGAATTTTCCACCACTGGAAATAACAGAACTACAGTTCCCGCTGTAGTGCTGATACAATTGCACTGTGCTAATCCAAGAAGGATGCTGATGTTTTTGTGAGATTAAAGCCTCACAAGCAACGCTGAGCTGATTTCAGTGAAAGTGGTTTAGATGCAATCTGCCTTAAGGTATATATGAAAAAATATTTAAGACAGGACATCCTCATTCAGCTACAGGGTAGCAGCTAGTCAAAAAGAGATCTGGAAGCAGGCTGTTAGATAGACAAACAGGTAACTGGTGATGAAAAGTCATGCTTTGAGTGCATTCTAGGCGTGCATTGCCACAGGAGCTGTTTTTGCCTCTCACCTTGTTTGAATTTGCTCTTTCTGGGCTCTCTACCCTCCTGTTGCGATGCCTTACATCTTGAGTTTGAGCAGAATACGTTCTGCTTCCTCACTGTGAACAAATCCAGGTTTTTCCTCATATAATAAACCTTAATAAGACTATGAATAAAGGCTATTGAGGAGAGGAATTATTTGCAGGAGGTGACCTGGATCACATCCCCCATCCTTGACTTGAAAAATCTTAAATCTCTGTTAGCACAGATCCTTCACATAGTGTTGGATGTGTTCCATTATTCCACATAGACCAGGGATATATTATTTGCAAGGTTTTTAGTCTGACACACGGATAATTCCTTTGTCTGAAGATTCTTTCACACCTTTTCTGTCTTCTATTATTTTAAGAAAAGATTTAGCCCTTACTGTGCATCCATTTGGGGAGTAGAAGGATACTGCTCCTTTTCCCTTTCTGTTTTACCATTAGTGAAAACATCTGTACTATCCATTAGCTGTTCCAGGAGTACCTCTGTGCCTAAAGAGACTTGTGGAATATCTGTGTTCCCTTTTGCAGGGAACTGCATGAGTCAGCTGGTGTTGAGAACACACCTATGTTTTCCTCATCTCCATCCCACACCCTTTTCTGCTCTAATAAATTCATGGCAGGTGGATTCAAACACGCGAGCTCCAGCTTCCCTGAGCCACTGGCACAGAGGAAGAGGATTGAGGCCTTGGATAACCTCCCCAGGAAGCCAAACTTGAGACACAGTGCGTGGTGTGCAGTTTGTTTAGAGCCAGTGGAGCCATCCCACCTCCCTTTCTGCATCTTCCACTTCGTGTATGGACTTCCTTTAATTGGCCAGGCTCTGTTGCTGTTCCAGAAGTGGTTTGATTTAGCAAGAGAAATCTTTGCACTGGAAAAAATTGACCTGGAACATGTTTGATATTTGTGCACGGTGACGTCAAGGTGAGGAAAATGGGCATGACCCTGAAGAGCGGATAAATATTTTATAAATTGTGTGTTCATGTCTGTGCACACATCAGAGACTGTGCTTGCGATCAGGAAGTGGCTGCACAGAAGGCAGAGAAGAACAATCCTTTGTAGAGAGTGATACACACATTCCAGTCACTGTCTCAAAAGGTGCATCCAAGTCTACAAAGGTCCACATGTCTAGGGGTACTGTCAGTGCAAATGGAACGTGTGCTTCCTGCAGGTGTTTTGGAGAGGGAAAATGCCCCTGGTGTGCACCAGGTGCCATTGTGTGATCACAGAACACATCAAGCTGGAAGGGACCGGAAAGAATCATCCAATCAAACTCCCAAGTAATGAAACATTGAGCTGGGGCATGGAAGACCTACAGCCTCCTCATTTACAGTTTATTCTGTATCTGTCCCATCATGGTTTTACAGCCATTTCTTGTGGAAGACCAGCTCCTTTAGAGACCTCCTCTTGTGCAGAATTTTCAGTCTCCACACAATGTTTCTGTTTGGTGTCTGGCTGTTTCCAGTTCCATCTGAAGAGGAGCAGAAGGACAATTGATGTGCCATTTTGAGGGTCAGAAATAGGACAATGGTATCCACCCCAGGAATTTGAAGTTAGTTGTGCTCTAGAATTTTGTTGCAGTTGAAAAATAAAAGTCATGCTGCTGATGACAGCACACCTTCCAAATTCTCCTTTGTGGGTGCAGATCAGCTGCTGAGACCAGTGGCTTGTTACTACTGCATTCAGGCACCATAAAGATTCTGATGGATGAGTTCTGCATGGGGTGCAAAGTGCTGAAATTCCCTTGCGCTCCAGTGGGTTCAGAGTATCCCACATGCAGCTTTTCTGCCTAGCCTGGATTTCCTTGAATTAGTGCATTCCCTTTGGGACATCTTGGTTGTTAAATGAAAATGTTCCTTTTCAGGTATTTGTGCTGAATGTGGAAGCTCAGGTGCAGGAAAGAGTTTCATGGTTGCTCTGTTGGAATAATCTTCTAAGATATTTGTACATGTTTTTCATACCCTGGAGTTTCGTAATGGTGGGTTTTTTTCCCCCTCCTCTCAGGGCTAGCTGTTCTACCTATTCCATCTTGACTTACAGGTCTTTTATTGCAATTTAATAGTTGTTCTTAATCTTTTCCAGGTGCACATAATGATCCTGCTCCTGACACAGATCTTTTGCCACAGGAAGCCTGTGAGGAAGGTATGAAACAGATTGAGAGCACAGCTATTTATACAGATCATGGAAAGCTAGGATATGTAGATTTGAAATCTGTGTGTTGCTTTCTGAGAAATTGTGCCATATCTTTAATTTTATTGTGTATCACAGCCTGCCTTTCTGAAGGCTGGATCCAGAGTTCACTGAAATCATTGGAAGTAATCCCTGACGTTTTGGACAACTCTAGATCAGACCATAAACCAGGTGGTGGGGTGCTTGTTTTGAACCACTGGACTAGTGAAAGTTGTTATCCCCACCTGTTATTAAATCAATAGCTTTGATTCTAGTGACACTTCAGGCTTTCATTTCCACCCTCCAGTGGGAAGAAGGTGGCTGAGCGTGTGCCGTAGGTGGAGGGTGAAGACATTGTCTGAGCACGCAGTAGCAGAAAGCACAAAGGTGGCAGAAGGCTCAGTGTCAGTCTGGGAGGAAACGCTGTGCATTAAATCCCCAGCTAGCTGTGATATTTGGGAAGTGCCAGTTGTCAGCACAGTGCCAAAGGAGCAATCTGCTCAGTGCTGGCAGCTCTGCTCCCCTCTGCCAATTCCAAATGCCACTGACTCGCTGGAGAGGGAACCCAGCCTACTCTTTGTTGGAGGGCTGATAGGTGTGAGGAGTGGAGTTGTGTAATAAGTGAAAGAAAGGACAAATCAAGAGGAAATGGAGGAATTCCTCAGGGTGCCATCTGTGATGCAGATTACCAGGCAGGCAGAGTGAAAGTGAATTTCTTCTTTTGTGGATTAATTCTGCCAGGCTGCAATCAGTGAGCTAACATGCCTTCCAGGATCATAAAAAGCAGTGCAAGTGCTGACATCTATTATTAACACTGCTTTCAAATCAGCACTGGAGAGAAATAATGGAATACATACCTGAAAGTTTCCAGCTACCACCATAAAGGGCAAAAAGGTGGGGAGGTGACTTACATCAGCCACAGCTTTCTTTGCTCCCTCATCACCTCCTCAGTGCTCACTGATGATTTCCTTGTGCTCATTAGTAATGTGTTGAAGGTCAGGCCCCAGCTTTTATTTAATAGTAAACAAACTGATTTTAGAGGGCAGAAAGACGTCTTAGAGACACAAAACATCATTCTTGTCTGCTTGTCTCTTCCATTCAGCTGCCAGAGATGATTTGTGAGTGATACAATGATACACCTCTGAGGCAGAAACAGACCCTGTTGTTTACCAAGGCCTGAAGTCCGCATGCATTTTTCTGGATTTCTGCTGGAATTGAGTTTATATACCAATATTATTTATTTCAAAGCCCTGCTGCAGTAGCAGCAGCTGGCTTTAGACTGACTGAATCTGTATTTGATTGCTTTCTCAACAAACATACCCTCTGCTCCACAGTTTATGATATGGATGTGTCTTTTTATCTCATGGAAAATATGAGTCCCACAGCTCATTTAGCGCTTACTGTTTACTGATATGAATCATTGGAGGACTGTTGTTGCTGCTGCTGTAAAAATAATAATAATAATAATAAAAACACTCTATGGAAGGAGAGCTCCAAAGGCTTTAATAGAAAAATTGCATTCTAGTAAGAAAGGCTGCTCTTCAGCAAAACAACATCATGTAAATGTGCCACAGTGTTCCAGAATGCTGCACAAGTTCAGTGCTATGTGGGTTCTGTATAACAAATTAGTTTTAAACCCCCAATTTAGTGTGGAGATAGCAGCTCACCTGCTTAAAATGTATCATTTTATTATCGGTCAATTGGAGGGGAATGTATTGGTTGTATTCTTTATCCTATTTGAATAAAAGCCACATTTATGACTCAGTTTTTATAACCAATGTCCCATAATTGCAGCTGAGAAGTGCTTCTTGGATTATCAGTCCTTTCCAGAAGCTACACTCTTCTCCTTGGAAATGTTATCATGGGTGGTCTTGATGGAAAAGCACTGCAGACTCTAATGGTGAATGTTAAAGTGGCTTCATAAATCTGTGCACAAACTGAAGTGGCAGGTATGTTATTTCATTCTGCAGTCTGTAATGCAAGGAGGTTTCAAATTTCACTACAATGGATTTCACTGGGGGCTACAGTCCATGGAATAAATCTCAGCACCATGGAAACAACTGTAAAACTCTGGTTTCAGTGGAGGCAGAATTTTATGCTGTCCATTTAAGGGTGGCATTTCCCTCAACAGTGTCTTAACTCTTCCACCAAATTTGTTAAAAGTCTCTTTATAAGTCTTGCTAGGAGTAAAACTGGGCCAAGATGGTGCTTTTGTGAAAATCCTGCTATGAGTGTAATATTTTTTAAAACTGAGCTCTTCATGTTCCATAGAGTTATCAGACTTGCCGTATAGAACACTGATATTTATCCATTATTTGCCTAATCCTGCATTTCTTACCCAGAGTTAAAGTTTAATGTTAAGCCACACACACATAAACTCTCTGATGAGGTAGCTGTTGCATGAATATTTCTATTTTCTCTGTGCATGGACACTGAGCTCATCATGCCTTCCTCATGACTTCTGCCTGCTCCTAGAGCTTCCCAGAGTGCTCACTGCCCTCCAGGTGAGCCTGCCCTTCCTCCAGTTCTCTCTGAGATGGACAGAGGCAGTATTTACAGCTCCTGCAGCTCATCATGCTGGTGAACATCCTCACTCCTTTGGTTCCAAAGGCCCTGAAAGCAGGTGAAAGATTAATGTAAATAATGAAAGGAGAGGATGCTGAAAGTTGTAGGAGGTCTCTCTGCAAAGCTGTTCTTTAAGATGATGCCAGATTGTTGGTTTATTTTCTGAAAAAGCAAAACTTGAAACCGAACCCCATGAAAACCCCAGCTCTCTCAGCTCCATATTTGTCTCTCATTGTAGCCACAATGACTTTAAGAGAATTGTTTCTGATTGAGGCTGATGTAACTGAGGAAAAGTTAGGTTTGAGTGTGTGTGTATATAGATGTGTATAGGGAGATAGAATCTAGTAAGTTACTAGAATTGGATTTTTGGCAGCAGTTGTATCACTTTATTCCAACAAAGAGACAGCTTTTTACTAATTTGATTACTTTGTTTTATTTTAGCAATGAAGAGTTGAAGGAAACTCTCTAGTTTTACATCTCTCTTAGTTTCCAGTCCATTTCTTGGCTATCCTATTCAAACGGCAGTCACAACTTCTCTTTAAACACAGAACTTTTTGTGTTTAATTACATATAAATAGTTCTTGGGTTTTCAGTTTGACAAAAGCTGATAGTAATTCTTGTCTTGTATAAGATTTGTTGAAACTACTGCAGATTGAAACTACTGCTGGTGTGAGTGGGAGAACCAGGGCTTTTGAATATAAATTCTCAGTGTGTTCAAGATTTCTGTCGAAATGAGAGTACATAATCTACTGCTTTGTTGCTTAAGTATAAAAATAGAACTGGTGTTATTTTCCATCCAGGAGCTGCATCCAGCCTCTCCAGTTTACCTGGCCATGCTGTTGCAGTTTATTTAGGTCTGGACAAGCTGACTGTTGTTCCTGCTTGCACAGTCCAGCTACATTTCCATTCTGGTCAGGTCAGTGTCCATCATTTCCAGGCAGAGATCTTCAGCACTCCCCTCCACTTCAGTCTCCAGACTTGCCTGCAGAGACTCAGTTGCATGCTGGTGAGTGTTTCTGTGGACTCCACTGAAGCATATGGTACAGCAGTCTGTTATCTTGAGTCTGATCCAGCCCTTGTATCAAATTATTGCCCACCAAGTAATAAAAATATAGTTATTTTCAAATCTGTTAAAACTGAGATACCAGGACTTTGTACCAAGCCATTCATGAATACTTCCTTTTAAAACAGGGCTGGAGAGATTTCAAGAGGTCATCCTAAAAACGTACTGCCTAAAATCTGGATCACCTTCTGCCAACCCAGTCCCACTTGGTATGAGACCAGACTGCATTTAACTTCCAATAACAGAGACTGTAACCTCCAGACAATCTGGTCCAAGCAGTAATTCCCCTTAATGATTATCAAACTTTCCTAATGTCTAACTTAAAACCTCCATACTGCAGCCTTATTATAATGTAATAATGGCCTACATGATTATACATACAAAATCCATCCAGTTATACATGCAAAATCCATCTGGTGGGCAGCAGGCACCAGGCTGGCAGGAATCTCTCACATCTGCAGCATTGATACCTCCAAGGGAGACTCTGCTTCCTCCAGTGCCACCTGCAGTTCGTCCTTCTCCATCTCCAGCCTCCCCGTTTGCAATTCCTGAGTGTTCTTCCCTCCCTTCCTCAGCTGACTGATTAGATCCTTAATTTCCTCTAGAGAAGATATTTCATGTGATATGTTTATTTCAGGACTATGAACTTTACCAAGTGCACCAGACATATCCTTTGACTGGAAATAGCATGAAATGGTTTCAGTCTCTTTATGTCAGCTGCCCTTTTCTTTCATTGCTAAATATTATCCTGGATTTCTGAATGAGCCCTGCTAGCTGCGTGTGTTCACAGAGGTGGAAGAATGAAGTGCACTAAATAAAGAGAATTTTTTTTCCCAGTTTCCTTTCCCCCTTTCAGATGGTTGCTTTCACAAAATGGGAACAGGACACCACATCATCTCCAGGCAGCAGAGAGGGGCTCTCTGGCAGCTGATGGAGGCTGGAGCAAAGAGCTGGGGAGAGAGCCCAGGAAACACTGGGTATGTGCCAGGGTGCCCATCACTGTTTTCTCTTGGCCACAAGAACAGCAGACTGTAGCATCTTCTAAATGTTTACAGTGTCATCTTCCAGCCTCCTGTAAGAGATCAATTTTTGTCATTTACAGAAGTGTAAAAAAAAAAAGTGGGGGGGAACTGGTATCACTGGACAGCCAGTAGGGAGAAGGGATGTGAAGAGGAGATCGAGAGGAGTCTGACTGACTTGCTCTGGACTGATTTCTGGAGATGCTGAATCCTCTCCATGGGGGTTAAAGGGAATGTCATCTTCCCAGGGTAAAGCTGGCTGTTGTTAACAGCCCCTCCATGTGAATTGCTCAGAATTAGAGAATGTTGGTAGCCAGAACTGGCACCACAGCCTCTCTTTTATGGCACCAAATTAATGTCCTCAGAGACTGAAAGCACTGCTAGGAATAAGGAAAGTGGAATCGGTGCTGGAAGACTCCCCAAGAGATCATTCAGTAGAAATCAAGAGGCTTATGATGTGCTGAATTTTTGTACATCAAACCAGTACTTAACCTTAGGGGCCTTGTTCTCTTTCTTCATAGATCCCAGGTGCTCCAAGGATTCTTCATAGGCAGCCTTAAGCTCTACATTTTCAGTTGTGTACATTCCTTTGTGAATTTACTTCAACCTGCAGCTCTTTGTCCTTTATTTGCCATTCCTTTAGCATCTTACCAAAGGCTCTGTGCCTCTTGTCCAGAGCAGCACAAGCAGCATTGGCCTGGAAAAATAAAGCCAAGCATTCACTGGACACAAGTTTTCTTCACACTTCACTTCTCTGCATGTCCTGCCAGCCAGCCACAGTTAAATTGGCAGCCATTCTAAAGGCTGGCAGCATTTCTCTTGGTCACTCTGAATGGATAATTAAAATGTTTATGAGGCTGTCTTTCCTCACCATTAGGAATTTAACAAGATCACCCAGTTCCCATCAGTGTGATAGTCATCCTTGCTCCTGTGGTTATAATGATGCTGCTGTGGAGCAAATGTTTTCCACTTCAGATGTTTCTTGTGCAGATGTGCTGTTGGTAATTGCCTGGGTTGATCAGTGTGACTTTTTCTATTTCAAAGCAGATTCAGTTACAAACAAGATGATATTCAAGACTATTTTAGACTGTTTAACTCCTTGTCATGAAGGGAAAGAATAAAGGTACATCTTTCTTTCCAAGGAGCTTTTAATCACAAATATTCTACATATCCTTATGATCTACACATGTGTTCAGATACCATGGTGACAAGCACACCACAGGAGCCATAGAATAAAGAACTGCTTCATTAAAGAAAGGGATGGGGAAACATTTTTTCAGCCCAGTAATGCAGTGCTGTATGTGGGATTTTCGGCTCTTGGGATCTGTTCTAAAGCCAACTGCAGGCATTGGCAGGTACCCAAGGACTTCAGTGGATTCGGAGCAGCCTTTGTGCCTATTTTAAGTAACATTTTTATTCAAATATCCCACAGTTGCACTACTATTCATGCTCTTACACTAACATGAGCAAGAGTAGAAATACTAATTTAATGAAGGAGCTGGTGTTTAAACTGTGTTGTTTAGGTCTGCTTTGAGTTTGGTAGTTAATAACCAGTGGCCAACCCACCAGTACAGCAACACTGAAAAGTTCAAAGCAGGATATCATTATCCTTTAAAGGAAGATGAATACCTTGTCTTGCAGTAAAGGAGAGCTCTTGCTTTAGCTGTACTCTTGTTTCTGGAAGTCAGCTAATGAGCTTATGAGAAGCATGCTGTGTGCTCCCAGGAATTAGCTGTGGCTCTCATCTGGGTTTCCTCTTGATGTGAGAAGTCTTAGTCTTGCTTCTCATGGCCATACAGATTGCTTGACATTTAATAGAGAGACCTTAAGAAATAAGGGACTGGATCAAAGCCAACCTGAGTTAACAGAAGGACTCCCAGAGCCTCTGGTACCAGGCCTTACATCTTGGTGGTCAGGTTGAGTACACTCCTGGGTAGCTGGATTTCTGGCCTTCTCAAAGCAACAGTGAGTTCCTCCACTTGCTTCTGAAGCCTCTGCTCAGTTTTCTCCATGTTGGTAGCACAGGCTTGGACAGATCCCACTGTCTCCTCTGCTTTCAGAGCCTTACAGACAGCTTTCTCCTGGACAAAAGATGGCAGAAATACCCTGGTGAGTAGTTCATGGAATTGAAGAGTGGTGGAATCGGCAGCCCTCACCTACTGAACACCATCACTGTTTTCACCAGGGAAAAGATAGTAACTTGGCAGCAGTCTCAGAAAACAGATTGTAAAAAGTTCAGTGTTTTCTTTATCCTTAGGAAATTGTAGAGGCTTTTTGTAGGGCTAATGGAAGAGTAAAATCCTGTTGAAATTAAAAAAAGGCTATCCAAATTCAAGCCTTAATCAGAAAGGTTTGTTTTCTGTTGTCAGTGTACCAATGTTAGGTCTCAATAGTCTCTGTTATTGCAAGTATTATTTTCCTTCTCTTGGCTGAAGCCCTTTGCTTTCTGTCTCTCTTACCAAATTGCATCCTAGCAGATCACATCCATAAACTGTGACTCAGCAGCCAAACTAAATAATGAGACTGCTTAAGCCCCAGGCTCCCTGAAAGCTGAGTGCTCTCTTGGCTTCCTCCAGCTTTTGCTTCTACCAATGGCATCAATCCTCTACTTGGTCCTCCAGACTGTGACTTCAGTGTTGAGTTTAGAGAGCTGAACTGCAGCTCACCTTTGCTTTTCTCCTCTTCCTCCAGCTGCTCTTTCACCAGGTCCAAACCCTGCTTGGTGTTGTCTGGGCTCCCACAGCAGCCTTGCAGGACTCAAGGTAGCAAGTTCCACTTGAACCACTCAGTTCTGGACCATCGAGAAGCATCTCAGCCTTCAAAATATCTTACTGTTCAGGAGACAAGGTTTTCTTTTTCTCCTTTTTTTTTTCTTCTTTTTTCTCCTTTTTTTTTCTTCTTTTTTCTCCTTTTTTTTTGCTGTATTGCAATGAATTGAATTGAGCTCATACAACTGAAAACAGAACTTGGCTTGTCACCATCACTGTTTGCTCTCAAACACTGTTTCAAAGAATTATGACAGTAAACCCATTTGGTGATTGTTCTGAACACAGAGTTCTTGCCAGACTGGTGACATACAGGTGCAGCACTAGAATTACTCTTTGGAGATAAACAGAAATTTCCAACACGCAGGTGTCAGACAGGGAGATTAAATGTTGATACATTTTGAGCCAGACTTTTGTGATCTCTGTAAATAAACTGCTGCACAATCCACTGAATGGACAATGGACTGATGATCAGGAGGCTCTCTGTGTTGTGCTCTGCTGCCAGCACATGGGCGTCTCCACATTTTATTTCCATATCCATACAAGGCTCACGTCCCCCACATCCCCTCCACACTCAGCCAGTGACAAACCCAGACATTAACTTGGATGAGAAAGTTCTCCTTTGTGAGGGCTACACAAGAGATTTGTTACTTTGAAGTGGGCAACATTCAAAGGAGCAGGCAATGCTCCATGACAGCAGCAGCCTCTGCAGGCAGCTGGTGTTTCTCAGCACCTTGGACTCCTCATCCAGCTGCCTCCTCAAGTCATCTGCGTGCAAGGTGAGAGAAATCTTTAGTGGACAGTCTGGTTAAGTCTGCTCTGAGCTTCCTGGAGCTCCCAACTCAGCTGGCTGGTTTTGGCTGTGTAACAACTGTATAAAGAAGCACGAGAAGAGCTAATTCAATGTGACTGGAGTGAGAGAGAAGGATTGGGCAGAACAGTGAGAGGAGACAGGGTAGGGCTGCCAGAGCTGGATGAAATGTAGGGGAAGAGAAGGATCCGAGGGAGGTAACATTGCACAAAGCTGTCAAGGAATTTACCTTGGAGCCTGATGGCTTTATTTTCAGCTTGGCTCTCCTCCACCACAGCCAGCTGGGCATTGGCCTCAGCCAGGTTATCTTCCAGCTGGTGAACACGAGCATGGGAGTTCAGCTGGAAGAGAGAGGTCAGTCATATGATGCTGAGTAAGGCTTCAAGGACCAAGATATCCTCCCTCCCTGGCAAACTCCATTTATTCCAGTTGGTAATTGCACTAGGATGACTGTAGTAGCCCGGGGGAGTGCAGAGTGTCCTGACCTTTTGTGAGGGGGATGCCTCTTCCATCAGCCAGGATGAGCAGTGTTCAGCATCAGCTGCCAACAGCTGCTTCCTGGCATCTGCAGCTCCCACTGGAGAGCTGGATTCTGCTTTGCACTCATGGCTGCACCTGTGGCTGCATTGGTTTGGTGAGGAATTCCCTGCTGGTCTCTGCCCCTGGATTTCTGCAAAGATTCCATGCTCACACAGAGTTTACCCATTTCTGCCTTCATGAGCTGTTTGTGTGTCTCCAGCTTTGCTTTCACTCTGGGGCATCTCCATGAGCTCTACTATCCCAGCCATGGCAACTCTGTTCTTCTTATGGCCCTGTCCTGCTTGAACTGACCTTGCTGCTTTCTGTGCCATTGGACAAACTCCTCCACCTGTTTTCTGCCTTGTAAGGTGTCTGACAACATGGACCTATGTCCTGATATGGATGAGAATTAATCAGCTCACATTTCTAAAGTGAATTGAAATGGAAATGTTCCTTATTTTTGATGCTATCAATTTGTATTAGTCATTAGAACATGTTCAGAGCATTCTATTCAAGTATAGCCTCAGCTTCCAGGTCTTCTTCCAGCTCTTCACTGTCTGGAGTGACTGGAGTACACACATGAGCACAGCAGTGTCTGTGAGCAGATGTGAGAGAAATTTGTGGGAATATGAACAAGAATCTTAATTTCTTCACTCCCTTCTCTATATGTTTGTCAGCTCAACTGGATTTTATTTCCTGGGAGAGATCTATGGCTGGGAATACTGAGCCAAAAAAGCAGGAATGCCTGGCCAGGTGTCTCAGCAGACAGCTGATGTTATCTGCAGCACGGTTGGCTTCCTGTATGATGTTGGAATTTGGCCTTCAGGAATATAATCAAGCTGATTTGGTTACTTGAGGGGAATAGAGGCTTGTTTGTAGAAATAGCTGCAATCTAGGTCTGTGTGTCATGTTTTTGTTGAAATGCTGAGTGTTTAGTTAAATATTTGAACACTGAAATACTTGGATGAAATAAATATTTGAATTCAGAATGGTAACACTGCACATCCTGTGAACTGTGGCCTCATTTCTTGTTTGATTTACCACCTTTCCTTCCAGAGTGAGAGGGACAGTACCTTGGAGGGCAGTAGAGTCCATGGAAAGGTCTATCAGACATCTCTGCTGACTGCCTGAGGAGAATCCTGGAACACATCACCTTTCTCCTGGTCAGAGCAGCATGGCAGGAGATCTGCAGTGAGCACACAGTTCCCCAGACTTCACAGTGGAGTTTTCAGTAAGTGCATAATACACAAGACAAACTGGATTCAGAGCTGGCTGAGCTGTTCAGTCACTGGAAACTAAAAGGCAAATGTTTCCAAGCCCAGGGTTTCACAAGCTCATAGAGAAGTCAGAATCTGCTGTAGAAAAAACATCAGCATCTGCCTGGGGAAAAATAAATACTAGATCTCAGGTGGTTCTGTTATTTAAGTGTTTAAAGAGTGATAGGCTCCAGACTCCATTTTAACAGGGTGGGTTTAAAGGGCTGTATTAATCTTTTATGCCAACTCAGTCTTATCAAAAAGTCAAAGCTGCACAAGCTGCCTGTTGTGGGGTGGTAAAGGTAGGATGTTACAGCAAATTAATTAAGCCAAATTAGTGTTTCTGCTCTGTAGTGAGCAGCTGAGATTTAGTGTCCTGTCTCCTTAGTGGAGTAGCAGGGCACTTAAGTTCCTTTTTTCTTTGTGGAAGCTCCTCTTACCCCATCATTAACTGGTCTGCACAGAGAGGCTCAAGCAGCCTGGGAAGCTGAGCCTGTTTGCAACTCTGAAGGAGTAAAACACTTAATTTTTCTTCTGTCACTTAAGTGTCCCGGTGGCCTTACTCTGAAGCACAAGGATCTTGTACTCCCTGTGGAGAATTTGAATTAGCAAAGCTTGCAGGATGTATTAATGATTGTACACATTGCCTTTGCTACTTAGCTCATTAACTAGGTAAATTAGTGGTTTGGATAATATAGAGTTGGATATTTGTATTCCAGGAAGTTAATTTCTATGGGGAGGTTTCTCAGAGTAGTGCTGGCAGACCCATCACTGAAGTAGTCAATAGTGACACTAAAATAAAGTTCTAATTTGTGATAATATTTTGCAATTCTAAAACAGTTTTTGTCTGAGGATCAGAAGGCCTTACATAAACATGAATCATTTAAGCCTCATAACTACCCGGTGATTATACACATTTTATATGTGGGTGAGTGTGGAAGATGAATTACAAATATCAGACAATGAGTCAGAGAAAGACTTAGGAAACAAAATCTTGTATTTCTGATTCTGCCTGCCTGAATCACTGAACAATACTTGTGCTTGTCATTGGGTTAATGCTGAAGAGATCTGGGATGACTGTGGATTTTCCCAGTGAATTTATGGTCAAGGGACTTTTCAGCTGTAGCTGATGCTGTCACAGCTGTGACGTAGCACAACTACACCCAGTAAGATTTTGTACTCTGGGAAATTCCACTCCAACTGACACATTAAACCACGAAAATTCCTTAGAACATCTTCCAAGTTTCGCTCATTTCATTTCATTGAGGTTGGAAGTTGTCATTTTGAGGTCATACTCTACTTTAGGATGAGCCTTTTTCATCTTGCCATGGATTTTATTTCTTCTTCTGAGTTGTCCTCCAGCTAGTTGAAAAAAGGAGAATAAGTGCAAAAAAAGACTTTGTAACAAGCATAAAATCATAGGATCATGGAATGATTGGGTTGGAATGGACTTGAAAACCATCCCATTCCACCTTCCTGCTGTGGGCAGGGACTACCCCAGGTTGCTCCAAGCCCCATCCAAGCTGGCCTTGAACATCCCAGGGATGGGACAGCCACAGCAAACATATAGATGATGTTTATCAGAAGAGCCCAATATGTTGAAACCAGACCAAAGAGGGTCATCTGAAATAGAGACCGTGGCAACTTCACCTCACCTCAGGTATCCGAGTGGCAGGTTGGCTGCTGTTCTTGGGCAGGTGCTTCACCTTGTTCTCTTTGCCTTGTTCTCCTCACCTTGCAGCTTTCCAAGAAGGGAGAGGCCAAGACTGGTGCAGAGAATTGGGTGAGAAGCTAAACCTTGCCCTGGCAACAGACTGAAAACCCCAAGAATTTATCTGAGGTGCTTCTGGAGAGCAGCCTGAGCTCCATGAGTGGTTTTCAATGGGCCCACAGGAGCTCGGTGCAGCAGTGACTCTTCCCAAAGCATCCTGTTCGCTCTCAGAATTCACACAGCTCTTTTGGGCAGTGGCACAAGTTGGCAACACTTCAGTGTGCTGCCATGAGTTAATACCTACAAAAACTCAGCCCCTTCCTGTTTGTGCAGCATGCTGCAGTCTCATAGAATTGAACCAAGTAGACAATGGGGTTTGTTTTTTTCCCTTCCCCTGACTGGGAGAATGAGAATGGGGGAGAATAAAGAAAAATGAAACGGTTATTTCTGCCTGGTGAACTCCCTGCAAAGCCCTCTTCTCCTTTTGGCATTTAGTGACTGAGTCATTCTGAGCAGTGAGATCTAAGTTTGAACCCTGTGGTCTAATGCCTGCAGACAGGAAAAGGTTTGTGTGGATCACACAAGCCGTTAGCAGCAGCAGGACAAAATGTCACTGGAAACTTGTGCTTCTTTAGAAGGAATCTGAGATTCAGTTAATAAATTCTGAGGCATATGAGGCATCTGTGAGTTTAACATCCTGTGGAAGTTAACACTGACTTCAGAAGAAGCAGCAGACAGCCACATGGCTGCTCTGGTGCAGATTTAAAACTTCTCCAATTACATTAAATAAAAAACAATTCAGGTAGAGGAGAGGGAGAAACATTCCCCAAGGCTGGATGGAAAGGAGTTACATGGCTGCAGAGGGAGACATGTTATAAGCAGAGGCCTACCAGTATCATTATGTAAAAGTGGGTTTAATTAATAAAGGATGTCAAGGAAAGAGAATGTCTTTATGTAGAGAGATCCTTAAAAATTCCTGTGAAATGACTATTGCTATCAGGTGGGAGGGTGAAGTGAATAATTAAATCCCAGGTTGTATGAGATGCTAGAAAACATAAGAAACCATGAGGGAGATGAGCTGAGTAAATCTGAGCATCCCAAAAGGTGCTCTGAGTAGAAGAGGTGTAATGGCTGGTTGGGTTCATTTCCCTGAAGAATAAGACAGGAAAAAAACTCTTGTTATGCCTCATACTCACTTCTCGTTTTTAGCCAGGGTATTCTCCAGCCCTTCCAAGTGCCATTTCAAATGTCTGAATTAATCCTCCAGTACCCACCTGCTGGCCCTCCTGTCATCTCCTTCACATCCAGGAGCTGCCTCAGGAGGCCCATCCTTCATTTCATCACTTGGGCATTCCCCAGCATCCAACAAGTTCCCCTGTTCCTAATGAAGGGGTGGGAATCCAGTGTTCATCCTATGAAAGGCTGCTAATAAGATTCCTTTAATATGTCTGTGTTACAGTTGATCTCTGTGACTCAGGCCACAGCTTCTTAAAGTTAAGCATCAAAAAAATCTGTTTGTACTCCCACAGGTTCCTAAAGAATACTTTGCACTTCAAAAAGATGCTACCTCAACTTGCTGTGGCTCATACTGGGTATCAGTGGTGGACCAGGGACAGAACTTGGCTGGGACTTGTGACAGCAGCTCCTTTGCTTTAACCAGGAGGCTTTTCACTCTCCTTTGTTATCTGAGGACTTTATTTGAGTTACAGTCAAGCTGCCTGTGAAGCTCATGCATCATCCCCATGTGCTTTTTATTCATTCCATATTCTGAAAAGGAGCCTCTTATGAGTCACCTGAGGGAGCTGATGCCCTGCCTTGATGAATTCCAAGCCTTTAACCATTCCCTATGGATAACAGCCTGCACTTGGATGGGGAGATCATCCTTCTCCCAGCTGAGGGTGGCTTGTCAGCTCCTCTGCTCTTCTGTGTGTTCTCTGAGCTCCCAAGTCTTTGACATTATCCTTCTTACATCCCATTCCTCCAGTTACATTTCCTTCTCCTGCAGCAACTTCACCTGGAATTATGGAGTTCAAGCAATGAGGTTCCCAAAATAAGCCATTTCTATTATAATGGTTCCTGAAAGCCCTGAGGTGGTCATTTTATTATCAGATCCTAGAGGGTTTTGCATACCAGTGGGAGGCCTGGTGTTTCCTGAAATGCCTGTTTAGTGCAGTTTCATATCTCTGGTGTGAGTAATACAGCTCCTAGAAAAGGTTGTTATGGAGCACAGGAGCAGATCTGTGTGCCAGCACAGAAGTCAAGACTGTATGCCAAATTCTGAACTGATATAAATGCAGAATGATTCCTTACCATGATCTAGATTCACACCAGTCCAAATGGGACCAGAACCCTTTGAAAGCTTTTACTTTCTAAGGCTGTGACTTAGCCTCATTTGGCTCACACTGGAGCTGGGAAGGTGTGTGCCCAGATATAAAGGCAGATTTTGGTTCAACCATATGAGGAAAAATTTAAAATCTAAAATTTTTTGTTTCACTTAAACTTGTATATCCTGGTCAGCACTTTCTTTCCCCTCTTACCAGAAACCCAAACTGATTTGTTTATCCTGGGCCTAAGTGAAGAGACTCTGAGCTGGAACTGCCCCTTTGTGATGGCTGTGTGGTCTTGCTTAAGAGAAGTGAACCAAACCTCTTTGTTTCAGCTTTTAAATGTTAATGTATAGTGAAATCTTTTATTTCCATGCTCATATCCTCACCCATCCTCTCTGTGCTGTTTTGAGAAGTAGGAAATCCAGGCCTTGAATTTTGAAGACATTCTCTTCCCACTCCCTAGAGGCAGCAGGCATAGACTCAGATTTCAGGATTTTCTCCATTTACTAACTTTTCTGGCATTGATTTGGAAAGAAATTATTCAGGCCCCTTGCCCTATCAATAATTAACAAGGAAGTCACTGACTTTCTCAGTGTCTCTAAGTGAACATGGCTGTTATTTTTTCTCACAGTGCTTATCTTTCCTGCCCAGACATCCCAAGGTTCTCAGTGCCTGTAATTGCCACTGTTTAATTCTGCAGAACAGGACAACCTTAGTTTATTTTCCTCACCCTAATGTTTAATTTCTTCCAGAAAAGCAGCTGCAGAAACTTGTGGCCATTGCTCTGAATTGCCATCAGGCCAAGCCTGTGGTAAACAGAACATGTGGGGCTTAGAAACAACTGCAGAAGTGCAAGTTTTGTCCCTGATAAAACTAAAATACACCTTGTGTCATCCTGTGACAGGAAATGCACTGAATAGTTTTAGTAGTAATGAAA